GATAGTATCATTACTAGTCACTTGAAGAAAAATGAAACTCAACAGCGGAATTAACCCGAAATCTACAGAAATTTCACTGTTATTTGGGTTGATCCAGATGAACTGAGAGCAGAAGAGAGTCTAGCAGTTATGATTCGATTAGGCAGCCTTTCCAAGAATTTTGTAATCGTGTATAGCACTGAACAGTTTTCGCTTTGTTATTAATGCTGTTGTTTACGAAAAGGTCTTTTTAGTCCTCTCAAAATCATAAGCCGAAAGTATCATTCCATTTGTTCACACTTTTCAACAAATTTTGGTTGTCTACATGTTTTTTTTCCGATAAAGAAAAGCAGAAAAAGTGATCATCGATCTATAAAATTGTTCACGATGTCTATACAGCCGTTACAGAGATCTGCGATCAATTAGAGGAAGAGATTTCACAGTCTCAAGATGACTTGCTCGGAATTAAAGTCTCAGGTGCAATTAATGATTAAAATGGAGTAGCACATCGGCAGGAACTTTCATTCATGTATGGGTGTGGGTGTGGATATCTTTTCATCACATACACCCACAGCCACATCCCACACCCTATAGCTTCTAATAAAAATAATTTATTACATAGAACACATGTGACATAATCCACGTAACCTCGTAAAACACAAAATAAATCTTGAAATCGAATTTGATTAAGATCATTTTGAAATATTCTTAAACACATACTAACCATATTACATCCAAATACAAATTGACTTAAATATGAATTACAAGTTAACATCATTGATATTCTATGAGAAGTTTTATCACGAACTATGAGATTTATAAAAATACAAGAAATTTCGATGACTATATTCCCAGATACGATATTTAAAATATCAATTAGAATAAACGATAATTGAAAATTTGATTCTAGACGAGTTTATAGTAATGTTTGATGATAAAAAACACATAAATTTGAATTCATTTTTGAAATAATTAACAAGAAAAAAGATATATATCAAATGAATAAGTCATGCACAACATTTTGTGATGGAGAATAACTATCTTTAGAATACTAATGGAAAGGTTCATTTATTTCTTTTTTTAATATCTCTCATCCTCATTAATCAGGAATTACGTTTCACTCAAAGGAGTATTTTTTTAAAATTATTTTAACATTTTCCTTTATTATGCATTGATGAGCTTGTTAATGCATCATGACAAAATATTCCTATCAAAAGGACAAAGATGAGTGTATTTTAGTAATAAAAAGTCTTTGAAATACAGAGTGCGTGACGCGTTATATAGGTATTGGTACTCACAACGCAATACTCTTGTTTCTGTTGAAAATCTATCAATATAAGATTCGTGTCCAAACTGAACGGCTTTCCCAAAGAAACATATACTCAAGAGACTGAATCGTAACCGAGGAGATAATAAATCAAGAATCTTGTAAGTCATGGAAATTAAATCTGATTCTTTTTTTATTATTTAAGAATGGTCAGTATTCAAGCAATAAACAAAATAATACAACAATAAATATGAAACTATTTGGCAAAATTACTGAGAAAAAAAACAAGAAGCTTCTAGTTAGTTAAAAAAATATTACTTGAATAGACCATAGAAACCTTTAATTATATAGAAAAATATAATAAAAACGATTGATTCCACGTTTCTTTTCTATAAGATAATTCTTTTTACAAACATTAGATAATTTGATCATTGTTATGCATTGACGTTTTTATTTGAATCGATTCATCGAATTTAAATTAATCTATGAAGTTTTCTTTTAATTTAACTACGTAATTGAATCACTATTACATCATATCATAAAAATCTCCAGATAAACAACAAATATCGAAGATCGTGACCATGAAAACAAAAAATTATCGAAATTAGCATTTTCACACGCCGTTTATTTCTATTTGCAATACGTTTTTTCAACTCAAAATGCCACATCCAATAGCATCTTTTGAACTTGTGTAGAGGAGTGCGAGACGTTTTGTTCTCTCCAATCAACGTTATTTATAGTATCTGTTTGAATGCGTTTAAGCTATTGATCTGTTACCTATTTAAATGTGTTTGTTCATAATAACAACGAAATTTTCATAGATGCATCTAAGCACATTGTCAGATTATTTGTTTTATTTTCTGTCAAATTTGAGTAAATACCTATTTGTAAAATAAAAAGATGCTAACCTAGACACTGAGGTGTAAACGAAAAGATTAAATAACAGTGGCAGTTTTAATGCTCAAGTTTTTCTCCATGGCGGTAGTGCCTACTAGATTTCATAGTTTGGGTGTGGGTGTGGGAAATAGCACTTGTTCATCATCACCCAACACCCACACCCACACCCATATGTATCGATGTCAGCGGCGGCGATTCAGCCGTACGGCTTATACCTCTATCTATAGGTAAAGGATATCACACTCAAAAATAATTATGATTTATGTCTTGCCGTAGATAATATGATATCGAAATAAAAACTACGTTAAAAGGTTTTTGTTTTTAGTGCAACGATTAGGAATATAGTTTATCATAATTTAAATTTACTCGACTAGATTACTTTTGTGAAACTGACCTATATTTTCGAAGAAAATAGTCAGTGGAAGTTTTAAGTTTGAGGCTTGAGTGTTTACTTCTGACACTAATAAAAAGATCTCTTGTATTGATTATACTATCGATACGAGAGATTAATACCTATTATCACTGTTCATCCTTCATTTTTAGTATACGAATTTAAATTGTTGAAAATACCAACGATTATACTATGAAGAATTTAATGAAGTGTATATTAGTTTTTTTTCAAGTAATTATGAAAAAATTGAAATATTATATAGCAGTCAAACTCATATTCTTTATACCGTTCAACTGTTTTCCTATTGTTAAAAACGCTAAAGTTTTTTTTATGTACAGTTGCTGGGGTCTGTAATGGGGTGGGGGAGGAAGAGCTGCCAAACCTCGAACTTAAAACTTACACTCACTATTTTCTTCAAAAATATATGTGAGTTCTACAATAGCTTTAAAAATTCGACAAGATATTCATTTAAATGCCCTGAATATCGCAAATATCGTTTACGCAATTATGAAATAAAGAGAACAGTACTAAATGATGATCCTAATATGTTTATAATGATGTTGAGAAATACTCATCAACATGGATGTCGTTATGAAACATCTCATATACCATCTCCAATACGACTATCTCTTTCTCAATACGTGCATAGTGATTTATCAGAATCTCAGTACCATCAAGCAAATTAAGACCATTGATTCAAGCAGAACGTCGAAAGAACTGCTTCCATAGGATGTGTGGGTGTGCATACGGCTGTGTTTCGTTTAATTTCACACTCACACCCGTATCTACAGTCAGAGAACCAACACTCATAACCATGCGTACACTTACAGTCACCCAAACCAAACCAAGCCACACCACCGCACACCCTCTCATTCGTTCGGTTCTCTATTTGACAGTCAATCATAAAAAAGAATTCGTAATTTCTATTTCAAGCGAACAACATTACTTCCATTATTGAACAGTCGGGTCGCGTTCACTTGGCCGACAATCACTTGGCCGACTCATCACTTAGCCGACACCACTTCGCCGACAAATTGTTTAGCCGACATGTACACTTCGCTGACAACTCATTTGGCCGACAAATATTTGAGATCAAAAAAATTTAAATTTCTTGAAAATATTGCGTGGATTTTTCCCACTCATTCACCTATAAATAGTGAACATTTTTCAAAATAAAATCAGACGACGATTTTTTATCAGTTAAAACAAGTCTCCCGCTAACAAACTGTTTCCCGTGAGATAAGTTCGATTTTCTTCGGGGCATTGCCCATAATCTTTCATTGTAAATAAATGTGACTTTTGATAAAAAGATTTTCTGACGCAATATTTTCAAGAAATTTCATTTTATTTTACTTCAAATATTTGTCGGCCAAATGAGTTGTCGGTGAAGTGTACATGTCGGCCAAACAATTTGTCGGCGAAATGGTGTCGATCAAGTGATGTGTCGGCCAAGTGATTGTCGGCCAAATGATCCGGACCCGAACAGTCTTATTCTATTGATTTTTCATAAGAAACGTATTATATAATCTGCTTAATTTGTTAATCGAGATGATTTCTTGTCTGGTTATGTAATTTGTTTGCTAATACGTAGTAGATAGAATCCGATTTCGAAAAGTTTCTCTTCTTAAAATCTCCCTTGCTTAATTAATCAATCATAACAACAGTGGTAATGATTAATTGGAAGGTGAACAATATTAAAAAAAATGCACTATTTCTCTTGGTTCCGTATCCAATATTTTAAAATGAAAAAAGAAGAACAATATTTGAATAATTTACCTTCAACAATCTAAAATAAAAGTATTGACATGATAAAATTCGATGAACTTTACAGCGATGTTCATCAAATAAATATATATGAAAATCAAAATAACCATTGCAAGTTTCAAAAATATTTAACTGAAAGAAAATATCAAATACAGAACATGGTCTCGAACTACGTCAAAACTGATAAAGAAGATAATATAGATTGTATTCTGATGCATTTCTTATTTTTTAGTAAAACATATTAGATCTTCTATAAAGAAAGATGTGAATGTGAATGAAGAGAGGAGACTGAAACAGACGCACATCTGCACTCTCTACATTGAACTTCCAGATGTGCTCTAAGGAATCGAACAAAATTCAATTTCTTTTTTTGACTATGAATCAAATCATATTAAAGAGAAATGGTCACTCCTACTTTTAAATAAAGACAAATCTTAACGATATTTGGAAATATATTTAAGAAGAAGGTAGACTACTAATTATTTTGTTCTTTTTTACGAAAAGATACGAATCTCGAGCATGTATTGAGAGTATTTTGTTTTAATGAAGTAAGTTCGCATGTTTTCATTGAGAAATTTCCATAAAAGTTCGTTCGTTTTTTCTTTTGAGAAAATAATAAGATTCAATATTAATTTCAATTATATTTTGTAGAAATGACGAGTACTTTTTTTCATCCTAACTTCAAACAATAGTTATTGAATTCTACTTATAAGTTATTAAATATTCGGCGAACGCTTGTGCATCATGATAAGTGACGTAAATATCTTTCCCATCACTTGTTGAATCGAATCCAACAGGTCGAGTTTTCATTGAGCTATTTCCCTTAATTGTTTTCCCAATAAGAACACGCGCAACAAACATACATCGTTCTCCATTGTCATTCGGTCGAGTATAATCATGACTATAGACTGCATTCGATGAAAAATAAACACCAACACCATATGCTGTTCCTAGAAGAGAGAAGGATTCAAAAGAAATTTCTTTTGTTTTTTTGGAAAGAAATAAACAAAACTTACCGTTCACTCCAGCAAAACTTCTATTAAAACAATCCTCGATAATTGAATTGGCTGCTTTTTCAGGGCATCCATGATATAAACGTTTTTCAGTATCTACTGTCAGTCTTTTTTTAAAATCTCGACAATGTGCCAAATATTGTAAAAGGCATCGCTCATTTTGAATGCGTTCGATTTTTATTATTTTAGTATATTTTCCTTTCATTGCCTTATTGAACGGTTCGAAAATAGAGTTGTATTCGTCTGTGTTAGTCGATACCATAAATCGTAATTGATTGCTTGTTGATTTCAGCCATGTTGCTTGTTGTTGATCTTCAATCGAGATTTTGAAAATCTCTAAAAAAATTTATGGGAATTCGATGAATTGTTCTGTCAAACGAAAAATTATTTTCTGACATGCTTTACTCTCTTATTCTATAATATTGATCAAAGCCAATCTCACCTTCAAAATGTTTTTTGTTTTTTATTCTACTCGATCAATTAGTGAAATTCAAATGGCATTATTATAATAACAGAAGCAATTGAAGGTTTTACCTTCTTCGGACGCCAAGACTTGTTTACAAAATTCATCATAAATATTTTCTTGCTCAGGTCGAATAATAAACTTGACTGTCAATGATAAATTTCTTGTTTTCAAATGATATTTAATTTGTTTAACCATTGTCTTGACAACAATATCTACTGAACAGCCGTATCCTCCACAACCAATGGCTGGACATGCAATTGATCTGTAATTATATGAAATAACATTCTGGATAATATTCCATATGAAATCGATGATAGATTGTCGAAGTATAGAATCATCTGTATCTGGTTCCCATTTAAGAAAAAATATTCGCTGACAAGATAATTTACCAGGTGGAGTTGAGATTAGAATTGAATTCGGATTGCGTATATATTCGATTTCATATGCAGTTTTAACATCATCACCAGCTGCTTCGATAATTGCATTATGTAAGGCTATTGATGATGGACTTCCAATAATAGCATCAACCTATTCAAAGTATAGGAAATACAGTAAATATGTTTTTCTACTCTTTAATCTTCTTAGTTCTTTACTTTTTGCCTTGTTATATTTCCCTTTTCTACAATAATCATTCCATTTCCAATTGGAACGGATACTGTTGGTATTTCTGGAGTTCGTTCTAATGATTCTAATTGTTCGAATGGTTTTGATGAGTCTAATAAGGAAATTTGTTTTTTAAACTCATCATAAATATCTGTTCTATCTGGTTCTATTATAAATGAAATGGCAATGGGATGCAAACTTCCTAATTGGTGAGCTTCTTCAATTAAAGTTTTAGCAACAAGACTGAGTGAACAGCCGTATTGACCACAACCAATAGCCGGAAATGCGATACTCTTATAATTATCATTGACTGCTTTTTCAATTGCATTTGAAACGAATTTTTTCAATGATTTACAGAATAGGGTTTCATCAGAATCAGGTTCCCATGGAATAAAATAAATGATTTTCGCCAGTAATTGTCCACTAGCTGGAATTGCAATGATATTTGTTGGATTTTTTCTAAACTCAATGTTGTATGAATTCCTAAAGATATCTCCACCTGCTTCTAATACATTTATAAGCAAACCTACTGATGACGAACACACGACAACAACATCAGTCTGATGGAAATGCAAAGCCTTACGATTTCATCAACAATTTTTCTAAGTATAAACTTACTCGTTCTTTTGTCAAATCACCTTTGCAAACTTGGATCGATCGAGCAGAACTTTTACCGACTCCCATTTAAATATAAACTTATATGTAATGAAAACTAAGTCAAATGTCCAAGTTTGACTAAGTAATTTATTGGATATGATCTTAACTAAACAAAGAAAAAAAGAATTTTTGATAATTTTTTCAATTTAAACTCGAAATAAGAATGTTTAATTTTTCTAGATAAAAAATTATAGATCAATAAGTAAACATACAAAATTTTTTAAGTAAAATTACAATAATACCTAAGTAAAAAATTCAACTATACACTTATCCTATTAATAGCACATTGGCTGTTTTTTGTTTTCTTTTCTTCACATAAGGGTATAGATTTTGTTACTGAAAATGGTTTGAGCAATTTCAACTTCTTCTCTATTCCGATAATATCCTTGCAAATATAGATTTAAAACAAACTTCGATTATTTGAAATACTATTTTTCCATTTATATGCATTGTATATTAAAGTCACTTTTTCTTTTATATATTTGAGAATATATTATTTCTTTATATTATTGGCTCGAGAAAATGACATGCATCAGTTCATTTATTCGTTCTCTAAATGTTTTATGTGAAACTGTTCTATCCTTTATATCATGACACCATATCGGAATATATTTTAATAAAACAATTTTATGAACAATTATTTAACGTAGAAATCGATTAATAAACTTTGCAAATATTTCTATTATTAAAAAAATTTCACTTAATGGAGCATTCAACAAATTTTATTTTATATTCAAATATTATTTACTAAGCATATACTATTTTACTTTAACAAACAAATTGCAATCATTTATATTGAGAGCTGATTATTATTATAAATAGAGATCATATCCAACCGTAATCAATCGTTTTTTAAAGCCTTCTTCTTCATTAATATAATAATTCGTAGCTTAATGTTGCATAGAAAACGGCTCTCACGAATGAATTACAGAAATTTTTTACTACTAGCTAACCTAGATGATGCTGCAGAAATGATAACAATCAATCAAGAAGAGATAACTCTTACACACTATTAGGAGTTCGAATAGTGTCCAACGCTGTTAAAAAGCATGTCGATGTACTCTTCTACTTCCATCTCCATCCAGATTTCCTCAATATGAGAAACAATTCAGTTACATAACTGATTGATTTTCTAATTTCTACTGATTATTAGTTGTTATGATGATGCTATTCTATAGAGAAGATTCTCTCAATCTTTCGTAGAAACTCTTACTTTTTTTTATGTAACGTAGATTTAGATTATACTTTAGATGTTCCCATAAAGTTTTTCTGATTAACGAAATCGATCAATTGTCTAGAAAACCCTTTGCTTATTGTCTTGTTGGTGTTGTGGCTAATAACGTAGGGACCGTAGCAGAGGTTCGATTTAAGTAAAACAGTTGATTGCAGTGAAGTACTAGGATTCATTGACGTAGTGTCAATGAAAAATACTTTTTGTTTTACTGAAAATTCTAGCACAAAGATTAGTTCACTGCCGACGTTACTTTCAAATAAACCAAAGGTTCACTTCGTCTATTTTCACCTATCTATCATCACTCGAACACGATATCACTTTCCATTTGTCAAATTAGTTCCTATGAAATACATATCTGTTGAATGATGAATTCTTTTCTCTCAAGTAACCTCTTCTCTAATACTGATCTCATACGACTTTACATTTGACAAAAAAAGATCATAGAAAAAAAGATATACCCGTTTTTTCCAATAAAAGTCAATGATTTTGATAAGATAATGGTATCTAAAAAAAAAAGAAAAAGACAAAGTCTGATAACGATAAACATTGAAAATATTTCGGTGTAACTTGGAAAGTGATATGAGGATTCATTAGTCTTCTAAGGCATATATCTGCAACCGTACGCCCATTCTTCTAACTCATAGTACTCAGAATGGAGCGAGCATATCGGTTCTTCTGAACACGAACACCAGGGAACGGCGTGTGGGTGGATTTTGGAATGAGAGTGGAAAAATGGATTAGAGTAGGTAACAGGTGTACATATTCATCACACTCATATCCATATCTACACACGTTAGCAGCACTATGGAGCCCAATAATCATCTCATAAACAAGACTTCGCATTGTCGTTAACTTTTTCGATTCGTTTTCAGTGACTCTGTTTTTATTCCGTTTTACTTATATGCAGAACATGTGACAAAAAAATCTGTTGAAAAAACCAACAACAATTTTTTTTTCTTGCTTCAGGTGCATCAAAACGTTAGTAGATGTGAGAGAAACACGTAAAAAACTCTTTAATGAAAGCACAGACTGTGAGTCACATCATTTGTTTACATGATCCTCTATTGATTTCATCCTACAAAAATGTTTTCACCAAAGCGACATTTATACTAACAACCAAAATCACACTATCAACTCTTATCTATCAAGTATAGCATAGTTGGATAAAAGAAAAGAATCTCAACTTTATCTCTGTTTACAGCACTCCATGACTACATAGCAAGGTCAATACGACGTGCAGGTGTAGATGGTGGTAGTAGAAATACTTACATAAGATAAAATATGATGATAAAATTGTTTGAAAACTTGATTTCCATGAAAGAATTTTATATCATTGAAATAATTAAATTAGACAATAAAATGACTATTTTAACTTGATTTACTCTATGATATAGTTAACTTATTTAGATCAAATCTATATTGTGATGGTTGAGTAGCAACTACGAGTGGGAAAACTCATTCAGAGCCATTCGAATAATTCAAAATCGACTTAAATTTCTGAGTAGGTTTTTCCTCCTTCTGATTGTTTCTTGATCGTTGACTTACGATGTTTGAATCGGATGTAGATAAGTATGATCCTCTTAAATAACTCTCGTATCGAATACCATACCTATATCATTAAAACATTATGACATGTTTAAAAGTGAAATACGGTGCAGATACTTTGTCGGATGAACAATGTTTCGCGTCAACGACATAAGGTGGTGCAATTTGTAAATGTTATATCGGCAGGAGTTCTTTAATGACATTCATATAAACTGTTGTGGAATTGGTTCTATCGAGGCATCCAGAGTAGGTGTAATGGTCTGGTTATATTGTGTGGTGCATCCATCTCTAGGCGGTGTTAACACTCAAACTTGAATTTTCTTCTAAGATTATAAGAGAAGATTAGATCCCTCTAGGAAGTAACATATTATCGAGAGCTATGATTGAAAATGTTCGAATGGAAAAATCGATAAACCCTATAATTCACAAGCTACACAAAACAGTAAAGGCATTATCAATCTTCAATGTTTCATCTTTTGACAATAGAACCAGCACTTTTCGAAGTAATGAAATACAGGGAAGAAAAGCAAAAGCATTAGAAAGTCTTTCAAAATATTCACTCAATTTTTTTGAGACAGCGAAATGAATTATCAACTACATTTTTCCATCGAAGATAAATGTAATAAACTTTGATTTTGTCATAAAACAAGATTCGCTGTGCATTGAGATATTTTTTTTGGGTGTGGGTGTGGGTATCTCTTGTACAAGATGCGGATCTACACACCCACACCCATCAACTGACTTATTCCAACTTATTTTTTTTCAATTTTCGTCGATTGATAAAGTCCTTGTCTGGGGTGTGGCTGTGGCTGTGAGTGTGGGATGTGTGTCACACCCTGCATTGGTGCTTACACATCCAAGGGCGACATGCTATTGGATGTCAACAACTTAGCACTGATACGATTCTGATAGATACCACTCGATTGAATAAAATATTAAATTTTGACAATGAGAAGGACCTAATTGAAGTTGAAGCTGGTATACAGTGGTCAAAATTAATTGACTATCTTGTTGAAACACAAAAATATGTATCCTGGACACAACAGTGGGATATTGCTCAAAAGCAAGCGGCTGCAGACCGATTTTCAATTGATGGAACGTTGGCATGTAATGCTCATAGTCGAGGCTTGAAAATGCAACCTATTGTTGGTGATGTTGAGTCCTTTACTCTAATTGATGCACAAACTAATTTTCTCAGGTGCAGTCGCCAAGAAAATGAAGAACTGATTGGACTGATCATTGGTAGTTATGGCTTATTTGGTGTCATTTATTCGGTAATATTGCGTTTAACATCCCAGCAAAAAATAGAACTTGTGGTAGAAGTTATCACAGTTGACAACCTATCGGAAGCTTTTGAACAGAGTATTCAAGCTGGTTTTCTCTATGGTGACTTTCAATTTTCTACTGGTGAGAAATTGAACGACTTCTTATATCGTGGTGTTTTCTTCTGTTATCGACCAGTTGACCCTAGCACTGAAATTGTCGAAGGTGAAAAAGAACTTTCCAAAGAGCATTGTGACAATCTCTATTATCTTTCACATGCTGATAAGGCTGAAGGATTTCGTCAATATGCTACCTATTACTTATCGACATCTGGTCAAATTTATGCATCTGATACTGATCAGTTAAGTATCTATCTCGATGATTATCACCACAAACTTGATCATCGTCTTGGTTTAGAAGAATAGGCATCGGAAACTATTACTAAAATTAATGTACCTCGCCCGGAACTTTTTGACTTTGTAGCCGAACGTTCGAGAAGATTGTCGAACCAAAAAGGTGAATATGGTCTATGGGACAAATCGATTGATTGTACAAGACACTGAATGTTTTTTGGCTTGGACAAAAAAAATCTTGGGCTTGTATTATCTTTAATATAAATAGAGTGCATACACCGGAAGGATTAGAACATTCCGCTAATGGTTTTTGTCGTCTGATCGATTTGGCTATTAAGCGTGGTGACAGTTACTATTATTGACCTATCACACAT